TTTTTTTTAAAATAGTCATTGGCGTAGAAGTTCTGTTTAAGAAAGGGGTTGAGCACCCCCTCCACTCCGCCACTGTGCAAGTTTTTGAACATTTTTATCGCTTGTTTTATGCCCCTTAATTAATAGGCATTATCTCCCAAACATGAAAAAAATCTAAGCATTCGTTTATAAGTTATAATGAATATTCGAGAAAAAAAATTATATTCAACACCCTGTATCTCGGAAACGAAGCCTTCTACGACATATGTTTATTGGAACTTTTCTTTTTAAAAACATATGTTCTATCTCCTGTTAAAGTTTGTCTACAAAAAACTGATTCACCCTGTATATATGGAGAAAGGAATACACACCTGTCCTGCACTTATATTCAGCACCGTGCTATGAAATCGTTAGCTTCAAAGCTCTGTATCTTTAAACCTACACATAGGATCGCTTTAGGCCCATGACAACTTTTGCTCAGGAAGGTGAGAGCTATATCATATTTCAATTTCAGCCATTTTGACCGAAAGCCATTTTCCATAAGGCGTATGCGGCGTCCTTTTCGAAGAAATTTTGGAAAAAAAATAAATATAATTGTGCGGTCATTAAAGTTTGGTATTTCTCTCACCATTGATTTTTCAATAGATACTGTTAGTCTGTCTTTACAATCAATATAACTTTTGCAATTTAAAAAAAACGCACAAAAAGTTACAAAATTTTTAATTAATTTAACATTTCCTTTTTAATGTGTTTCATAAGGCCAATCTATTTAATTATCAAGATAACATTGTAGGTAAATTAAATTTTAAAATAATTTTTTTACTGTGAATATTTCTAGGGAGCCACCTGACCAGCCACCACTGCATGCGAAGCCTTTGTGACTTGGTATCGAGAAAAAATAACATCTGTAACACTTTAAGACAATAAAAAATAACAAATTTTCCAAATGAAATAGAATATTTTATCAAAAAGATAGTACCTATAAACAAAAGGAATTTGAGGGTGGTTGAAGGAAAAATAAAAAGATAAATAATAAAATTGTGGTATACAAAATTGTATTATTAAAATTAATATTTGCTTCACGTAATCTAACCTGAGTTAACCCAACTTAACCTAACCTAACTTAACCAATCTAAGAGGACCTAATTTAGTCCAGATAAGACAGAAAAACAGATATCACACAAGCAAGCAATGATTATTATTATTCCATCTACAATACTCGATACGCTTAGCATAATCTTCCGATTCTCGAGCTCGATTTTCATGGCAAACTCGACTGTCAAATCAGAAATTTGCTATCTTCATTTGTTTTTGAGTTACAGGGCGTTTNCTTTGACCCCCCAAAACTCCGTTAGGGGGCACATTAGAAAAAAAAATTATAGGAAGGACTAGTTTTATTTTGACCTCCCCTATACACTCCCGAGAGATTAGGAGGTACTTACCGAACACCCTGTATACAATTTTTTTTTTGTGTGGCTGTGTAATTATATGTATTAAAACAAATACTTTTTATTTACAGTGTGGCCCGTATACAAGAATTAAAATGCAGTATAAAAAAACTAATTTTAACTCTACTATTTATTTTGTTACAAAAGATCTTTCTTTAAACAAATGCATTTATCAATAATAAATTTTATTTACACATTGCCACACTGTTATAAAATTAAATAAGTAAATATAATCATTACCAGAGCCTCATGGCTTTAACTATTCTTACGAACTCGACAGGATCGCCTCTTATCCTAAAGAGAATCTGATAAATAGCATCAGTATTAGTTTGAACTACGAACAAAAGGTAACTTTTCCGTGTTCTGTTCAAATTGACAGCGGAAGATATGATGTTTGTGACGGAGGTGCTAAATGGTTCCTCATATTCTAACCATCTCCTTATTTCCTTCAGAGCAAGTTTACTTGCTTCTTCATTTACTTCTTCAGTAATCCTCGGGTCTTTTGTGGTGAACTCACCCACGCAGGTGCACCACGGTTCAGGAATCCCCGCGTCTCTGCAGGAACGTTGTTTGTTTATATCGGAAAAAAGGCTTTGACACTTCGGACAGGCCAGGCTGGAAGAAGGTTTGTAGTTGGGCGCCGACTTCTTCAACACGTCTTGCAAGGTCATGTACAAGTCGTAGGTGCTGATCAGCTTGTTCGTGTTATTGTGAAAGTTTTTGTATTCCCATTGGAATTGCCTTTTGAACCAAGACGGTAACGAGATGAAGGCTAGAGGCAGTCGTTCTTCGAACCAGCCTTGAATGGTTTGCCGAAATTTTCCGAAGCGAATGCCGTGGTCGCTTAGAAGGATCACGAGATTATTTCTAAGAATATCCTCATTCCGCAGTTCTTCGAAGAAATTTGCCACTTTTTCGTCCATGCCAGAGGGGGCGTTTATATCGTTGTGACTGAATGTGTTCATCCAGAAAACACCGAAGCTGGGTTGGTTTTTGAATGTGACGGCGAAATCTTTCGCCAAATTCAAGATTCTTTCCCCTGAAAAATAGCAATAAATAAGAACATGAATGTCAAAGGCTTGTTTTGGTTCTAAATTTGAACGAAGTGCGTAGGTTTTTTATAAATAAAGTGGACAATTATTTTCAAACGTTCTCAAACTATTCACCAACTCAAGCTTGGAAATTATTGTGAAGTATATTTAATATACAGGGTGTTTCATAATTGGATGTCAAGTACAATTTAGGGTCGGTCAAAAAAATCGACTATTTTTTTTACTTTATACCCTGAAAAATAGGTTGCTAGACACCTCCAGAAAATTCTCTCCAAATATGACCTCTTAATTTTAATAGGAAGGTCCTCCGCTTTACAGTTTTCCATTTTTTCCTCAGTATTAGAAAAAAAAATCATATCTCTCCTCATTTACTTGTAGAAAATTGAACGCTCTCCAAAAAAGGTCTCTTACAATTTTTTCGAAAACCTCACCGTTTAAAAGATATTAAAGGTTGAAGTTCAGTTTTTGATTAATAATTCGGAATATTTCAATTTAGTTTATGAGTTTCAGGGAAATTTATAATAAATTAAGTTTCTATGAACAGAGAAATGTTTAAAACTATTTTTCTAGTTTTGTTTTTTAGTCGTAAGCATGTTTGGTTACACCGAAAAAAAATGTGTGCATTATTTCTGACTCATTGATTCATTAATTCTTGAATCTTAAAGAAAAAAAAAATGTTCAATTTGTTATTAAAAAGTTTTTTTATTTAATTATCAAGCGAGTTATAAAATTTCAAACATTTTGGTTTTGTGCTGATTTTTTTTAAGCTGTTGTAATTTTAACCATTGAGTATGATTTTTTTGACTGCATTAGGAGCTCCACTAGTTGGAATCTGATTTTTTCCACAGTTCAATAACTTGGTCAACTGAATTTTTAGCATTTTGTTTGATTGAACACTTTAAAACTTTCAGTTGATAGAATAACACACTCATAACCTCTTTCACTGTTGGTAACTTACGTTCCAAAATTTTTTGCATAGGTATACCGATCAAACGAATTTCCTTATCCATTATAGGTTAATTAATAATAAATAAATTTATGTAGTGATTATAAGACTTATTTGTAATAATAATAAACTATCTTATCACGTATACGAGATCATGAGTTTTAGAATAATTGAAAATGCAGTACGAAACGTATTGATACTAAAGATAAGTTGAGAATAAAAAACATCGATGGCGTTAGTTTCACAAGACAAACAGAAGTAATGAAATTCAAAACAAAAATCCCCTAGAACGAAAAATTTTATGTATATTTTGTGGAAAAAAGTTTTGAAATGCGTTTTGAACACACGCTTTCAAAAAAAAATAACAACACGATAGCGATTTTAAATTATTAGAGGTAAAATTTATAAAAATATTATCAGAATAAAAGTTTCAAATAAATTTTCGACAAAGTACTTCTCTATAATGGTTACTTTTACGATAGAAATTCAAATTTGTATAAATTTCCCTGAAACTCATAAAGTAAATTGAAATTTTCCGAATTATTAATCAAAAACTGTTAAAATTGGCGTGCATTGAACTTTGACGATGAATATCTTTTAAACGCTTTATTTAATCGACTAATCATAAGAGACCATTTTTGTAGAGCAGTTAATTTCCTACAACACTATGAATAGCGCATTTCATTACGATTTTTTGTTAACGAGTTATAAAATTCATAAGCAAAACAGAAATTTGTCTTAAAATAATCAAACTTCAACTTTTAATATCTTTTAAACGGTGAGGTTTGCGAAAAAATTGTAAGAAACCTTTTTTGTAGAGCGTTCAATTTCCTACAAGTATATGAGGAGATATATTTTTAACGAATAGTTGATAGAGAGATATGATTTTTTTTTTTAATACTGAGGAAAAAATGGAAAACTGTATAGCGGAGGATCTTCCTATTAAAATTAAGAGCTCATATGTGGAGAGAATTTTCTATAGGTGCCTAGCAACCTATTTTTCAGAGTATAAAGTAAAAAAAATAGTCGATTTTTTTGACCCACTCTAAAGTACATGTTTATTGAAAACACTTCAAGATTGAAACCAATGTGTTTACAGCACCGGCCTGAATGACTTTTTGAATAGATCCATATTACCTTCGGTTTCGGGTCCAGCGCAATAGGGCATGCCTTCTTTCCTAGTCACATTCAGAGTTTCAGCAGCCTCTACGTACGGTTTGAAGTAGTAGTCAGTTGGTGGCTTCTGAAACCCTTTTATATTATAATTGAAAGTTGAAATATCAGCCCAGTCCTCGGCGTAGGCAGTCACATATCCCAACTTTTGAAAGTCGTACCATATCATTGGACATTCGTCTAGCGCGCCAACTTCCCTGGGATTGCACTTTGAGTACGTTTGCCTCAAATTTAGACCCGACAAGAGGGCCATGCAATTGGGAAAGGTGTTGTCGTCTACTTTGTTGTACGCTATGAAGTCTGTGAATTTGTTGTTAAGTAAGAATTTTCTCGTCAGTGGCATGGTTCTGTTGAAGTTTATTCTGGAGACGCTGTCGATTACCAAGATCAATACGCTGATAGGTGTGTTGTGGGTGTTCGTTATGGATTGCTTCTTCCACACTTCTTCGGTGATGGTGATGGGATTGTGGACGTTTTCGTATACGAGGTTAGAGTCCTTTTCGCATTTTACCATGACTGTGGCACTTTCAAGTCGTACAGTCGTGTTGAAATGAGTACATTCGGATACACTGAAATAATAAAATTCGAAAGTAAAATTAAACATACAAAATAGAGTTTCTTTAAAATTTTCAAGTTAACCTTGAATCTTAAGATTAAAGTCAAATCCAAGGACACCAGCACATTGGTTTCTTGATATTGTACAAGATTTATCTAAAACTTTTTTGAAGGAACACAATACTGAAAAGTTATTGGAGAATTCAGGTCTTTTTGGGACCCTGTATAAGATATAATTTGAGAGTTTGAGAGTACGTTAAAGAAGAAATGAAACTTAAAAAATATTGCAAAACTTGGAGAAAAATTTGCTTCATTCTCGTTATTACCCAGTAAATATCATAAAAAAAATAAAAATGTATGCTGTGACATTAACCTGAGTTTATGAGTTTCGATGGATTCGAATTTTGAGGCGTCAGAAGCAGAAAACAAAATTCGACAACAAAGGACCCCACACAAACCTTATGGAAAATGGCTTTCGGTCAAAATGGCCGAAATAGAAATATGATATAGCTCTCACCTTCCTGAACAAAAGTTGTCAATGGCCCAAAGCGATCCTATGTGTTGGTTTAAAGATATACAGGGTGGGCCACCAGTAACGCCTCGGTCGCTAGTGACCAAACGGCAAATGTTACAGAAACCTGTTTAGGTGGGTATGTGTAGGTTGATTACGGCTACATTTTAAAAATATTTTGAGATATACAGGGTGTCCAGGAAAAGCGTACCATATCAAAGTTATGTTTTTTTAAATGGAACACCCTGTATTTTACTGCATTTTTGAAAGCACCGTAAAAAAATAGGTGAACTTTATTAAAGGTTCTGCATACCTAGGACTTACAGTTTGTGAGATATTTCAATTTAAGTGAAAATGCAGGCATAGCGTAGAAATTTAATATTAGCAATAAAAAAATAATTTTAAGGAAGCAGCTTTGGAGGGTCTATTTTAGATCCTTGAAGTTATAAATTGTTATATTTGTCGTCACTTAGTATTATACAGGGTGTTCAAAAAACTGCTGAATACTTCTCTCAACTTTAAACAGCAATAACTTGGTTATTTTAAATGGAACACCCAGTATATTTTTACTTTGGGAGTTGGGAAATTTAAAACTCTTTCAAACTGTGTATAGGTTCCCTATACCTATCTCTAACGGT